AGAACACTGCTCTGTGATACTAAACAAATAGGATGTTTCTTGTAACAACTTCCGGCCTCAAACAAGATTGTTACTCGTTGATTCATTTCATTGTTCTGTGTAGTTTTGTTTCCCATTTGCTGAACTGATAAAAAATATCTTTTTTTGAAGTTGATGAACTATAAAATTCCTGTACCAACTGAGGTTACGACGAAGGACTTTCTTTCTCAACCTCACCCCTTACCTGAGGTGTGGAGACCTTCAGGTTAAACCCATCACCAGCTGTCTCGCTGTAGTGAGAGCAACCTTATGATCCTCTGGACTATAGCAACTTTACCAGACATTTGAAAGCTGTTTTGACCTTTACTACAGAAACAATCAAACCCAAGGGTCCTGACCCGAAACATCAGCTTTTTCTGCTCCTCTGATGGCTACCTGGCCTCCTGTGTTCCTCCAGCTCCACACTGTGTTATCTCAGACTCCAGCATTGGCAGTTCTTACTATCTCTGAGCCTATATGCAATGTTCGGCAAGTGAGAAAACAGCAGCCCAAGCTTGCTGCTCATTGGGAGTTAGGCAGGCGGTGGGCCTCATGAGCTGAATTTCTCAAGGTGAAAATGTACTTCTTCATGAAAGAAATGAACATGTAAGATTTGGATATGATTGTGTGTTCAACTATCTGACATTTCAATGAATACATAATGTGAAGTACCCAGGTGTCCTACGAAGTCACTTCTGAAGGTTGTGCTGCAGTTACCATTTTGCAACTGGTAGTGGGATGAGACTATTGCTGGCAAGACTAGCGTTTATTACCCAACCTTAATTATCCTAGAGAACATGGAATTACATATTGTCTTAAATTGTTAACACATGAATTGTATTAGGGACTTCACCTGATAAAGATTTCCCCATCTACCTAATGTCTCAGTCAGAAGATACAAAAATCTTAGCTTATTGGATCCTCCTAAGGATGTCAGCTAAAGCCTTGGGCATCTCATAAGAGCGTAAGAAATAACTCCAGGAGTGGATCGTTTGGAATCACATTGCTGCAACATTCAATAAGATCACATCCGATTATCTGCCTCAACTCCATTTACTGCCTGCTCCCCATTTTCCTCAATTCCTTGAGGCAATTAAAAAATCTGCCCAATTCAAACAATTTCTTTAGAGTTTAACTTTTTTTTTGAATACCTTGACTTTGTATTATCACTTTTCCCTTAATTGTTGCTGCCCCTCTATCCCTTATTAGTTCTAATTTTTCACTGACTTTCTCTCTTTCCATGCAAATCACTGCACATATTAATTTCAGATTTTTTTCTGGTGTTTTCTACTCTATCCATTATGTATTCCACACATTTACTACTGTCTATGCCTCTTTTTTTCCTCCTTTTACATCATACTGTTTGTCTGCTGTCCTATCAGAGCTCTGGGGGAAGGTGTTTGAGCTCAAAACCTCAGACAGCAAAATAAATATCTATGTTCTCCAAGAGGAACATCCTTTCAACGTCCATGCCGTTTATTAAAACATTAAGATCCAGAGGAAACTTAAGTCACCTTACTCTTCTAAACCCCACAGGACAGCCAGTATAGCCTTTACTCATCAGTCAATTCACTCATTCCAGGTATTAGTCTAGTAAACCTTCTCTGAACTGCTTCCAATGCATTAACATCCTCTAAGTACCATGATTAGTTGGCCCTAATGGGTTTTTAAATAAATATTTCACCAATATCTCAATCAATATAAGGCACCAGAAATGGAGATGAGGGGAGAAAGGTATTGTGTTCAGACTTGGGTGTGTATTTATTATACTACAGCTTTGTTACACATTGCTGTACTCCATTTTATAACTCTTATCAGTGGTAGGATGGACTTTTACCTTTCGCTGTGAATTGCCTGTAAAACAATTGCTTTTTTTGTTGTTGTTTAGGAAGGGGTGGGGAAAGGGCCAGATCTTCACGTTAAGTGAGTAGCAGCAGGGTAAAGGCTGGAGCTGAGTCATGAGATTAGATACTGTGCCCATGTTTTGATAATAAGATCAACAGTTCATCTACTGCAGACTCACTGAAGTGTATATATACCTCAATTTTGCCTTTTAAAGGAAACAGCCTTTACTATTGAGCATGTATTAGAGCCTTCATGACTTACAGGAACATTGTCTTTCATTCAAAGATGCTTTGAATTTCTGAAAATGGTGCAGACTGTGATGTTGAGATGTATTGGAGAGCTGGCTCCTTAATGTTAAGGGAGCTTGTAGGTGAAGAAATTGTACAACATGGAAATGAGGTGACTTGGTTGGAACCAAGGTTAGAGGTCATATGTTTTAGTCTCATACCAGAGCATGTGAGAAACAGCAATCTCACACAACAATGTAGTTGCTTATTGGAGGTAGCTTAAGACCCTCATAAAAATTAAATCAAAATGATGCAAGTCATAATTCAGACATCTGCATGGTCCCTAGATACTTGTATTGCTCTCATGTTCATTGAAAGGACTATTATTTTTCCACTGTTCAAACAGAGAACATATTACAATGACTTTTTTTTAAATTTAAAGGCATCAGTCAATTAAAATTGAAAAGGAGAATTTGTTAAACATAGTATAAGCAAGGGTGGCAACAGAAATGAGTGTGTATAAATAACAAAGATCAATAAGACTAGGAGGACTGGGACTGAAAGGCTACTCAATCAAAGAGGTTAATAGTGTCTTTCCATATGTGGTATCTGATCTGTTGATATTTCCAGCCTACACAGTATTTTGCTTTTGTATCAACAAGAGTAGGATTGTTTTCTCTGGAAATTTGATAAGGAGTGATCAATTAGAGGTCTTTAAATGATTAAGCAATTTTATAACAAACATTGAATCCACAGGGGAAATATTTTTGCAAAACTGAGGGTCTGTTCATAATAAAAGATGAATACTCCTTTCTAATAAGGAAAGAAGAAAAATTGCTGTACAAATAGTAAAATGTAGGGTAGTTTGATCTTAGTAGGATAATAGGTGGGCACAACATCGTGGACCGAAGGGCCTGTATTGTGCTGTACTGTTCTAAACTGAGCAGATCTGGCAGCATCTATGGAGAGACAGAAACAGACATAATGTTTCGAGTATAGTGTGGAGTTCAAAGAGAGAGAAAAAGGAAGTTAGGTAGACAAAGGATTGGTTGATAGTAAGCTGACTGGGGGCAATGGGTTGGCCTTCCCCTTCCTGAACACATGATGATAGGGCCAGAGGTATGGGGAGTGGGTAAAGGGCATAGACTCAGAATTCCTAGAGTGTGGAAGCAGGCCATTCAGCCCTTTGGAGTCCACATTGACCCTTCAAGAGTATCCCACTCAGATCCATCCCATTCCCAGTAACCCTGCATTTCTCATGGCTAATCCACTTAGCCTGCACATCATTGAACTAGGGGAGGAAACCCATGCAGACACAGGGAGAATGTGTAAACTCCACTGCTAACCACTGAGCTGCTGTGTTGCATTGAGGAAGGTGTTCAAAGTCTAAAATTATTGACCTCGATATGGAGTCCTGAAGGCTGCAGGGCCTTGTCCTTAGCAGATGGTGGACAGACATTGCTGCACAGGAATTGAAAATGGAAAATGCTGGTGAAACTCAGCAGGTCTGGCAATATTTGTGGAGAGGGAAAACAATGTTTCAAAGCCTTGAAGACTTGAAACGTCAGGTCTGTTTGGCATTCCAAAGATGGTACCAGATCTGCCGAGTTTCTCCAGCATGTTCTGTTATTATTTCATATTTCTACCTTTCAGAGTACTTTTATGAGGAGACAGGAAATGTTACTCAGCACAGGATTCCTAACCTCTGGGCTGCTCTTGCAGCCACCATATTTGTATGGTTGCTGCAGTCCTTTTGGATAACTTAGTGGTTTAACCTGAGGGTCACCATGCCTCGGGCAAGGGAAGAGGGGGAGGAGGAGGATGGTGACCTTAGCCAGTGCGGGAATTGACCCTACATTGCTGGCATCACTCTGGGTAGCAAACCAGCCACAAAGAAAACTGAAGTAACCAACCCCCAGGCTGTTGAAAATAGTCTTCAGCCATGGTAAAGCCATTGAATGTCAAGGGGTGATGTTCATCGCCCAGCACTTGTGTAGTACAAATGTAAAAAGGTTTACAAAGGTTTTAATAGACTTTGAACCTTGTTCCCATAAATAAATTCTCCTTAATAAATGCATACAACTGTCACTCAAAAGAAACAAGCAAAACAAGTGGGAAACAAATGATGCCAGAACTAGATTTAAGAATAACTTTTTTCATTTACAAAAGAGAACATATAAAGATACATATAGGCAAACGAGAAAAAAAAAAGTTCAGACACAGGTTTACCAAACTGCAAAACACAACTGTAATAGAGACAACAAGGTGTAGAGCTGGATGAACACAGCAGGCCAAGCAGCATCAGAGGAGCAGGAAGGCTGAGGTTTCGGGCCTGGACCCTTCTTCAGAAATGGGGGAGGGGAAGGGGGT